ATCTTAGAGTGGGCTGTATCAGTAAGGATATTGTTCACAATAGCAATGAAAAGTAAAGACATTATGTGCTAATTACCTATATGGACATAATGATGAAAGAATGAGTTTTAGCACTTGTTTGTTTCATTTTAAAGCGAAATTCTTTAATTTTCAACCATACATTTATTTAATAAAATATTTTACAATTAAATTCAAAATTTTTTTTATACTTTCTATTCACACATTTTTCAAAAAATCACTATTCAAGATAAATAATCATCATCAAACAAGGACTTATTATATTTTTGAAATGAGGAAGTTAAAAAGGCTCCCAGTAGAGAAGTAAATGAGTCGACCCAATAAATTATAACTGTTCCAAATAAGAACTTGCAAATATTTTAGTTAATAAAAAATTGAGTAATTCAATAATTTAATATAGGAAAAATTGCAGCTGAGGTACCAAACCTTTCATTTATTAGCAAACTTTGCCCAAACCTTTAGTTTGTGCCACCGGAGATATCAAACCTTTAAAAATGTGTGGGGCCAGTCCAAAATGACAGTTTCCGTCTGTTTGACCGCCAAAACCATCAGTTGACCCCTTTAATGATAATTTCAAGAATTTTTTCCAAATAAGTGAAGGGCAACATGGTCATTACACACATTTCCCTCCTCAACATCAAACACGTCAGTTGCAACTTCCTTCCACTCACCATCCACTATGGAACCTGCGAAAACCCACGAAGAAGACGAAACGGACGTCGAAGAAGACGAACATCCAGTGGACATTGTAGCCCACATTCGAGGCTCTCTTCCCCAACCCGTGTATGGTAAGCGTCTTCCCCTGTTTTCGATTTACGGTGTGAAGTTGTATGATTATGAAGTTCCCTTGTTCGATTGTGTTCACGTACTGGGAAATTGAAAAATTTTAAGTGATTTGGTGTATTAGAGCGTAATGCTTGTGTACTATCTTTTCTGCACATGTTCGTTGCTCGAACTAAAAAGGGCTAGGGCTTAACTTCCTTTTTTTCGGTATTTTTTCAGGGAAAAATTCAAAGTATTTTAGCATACGGCTTCATCATGGTGGAATTTTATTTCAGAAGATGAGAAATTTTGTATATGAGCATGGGAAAATAAGTTATATAGACTATATCAACCCTGATTTCTTCAATAGATTTCTTTTGGACAATGCCATGAAGATGTTAGGATATTCTGATAGAATTAGATATCTGTACAAGATGGAGAAGAAAAGAATGAGTGAAGGTTCATTTTGGTTGGTTAAATACTCAGATTTCATGAATTTAGTGAAGTGGCTTGGTGATAATAGGACAGCTGGACTGTATTGCTTGCCTGTAGTTGAGGTTTTGGAGTTGCCTTGGGATGAAACAGAACAGAAGGATGTTCAAGTGTTTGATTGTGAGACTGGTGAGTAGTTGATGAAGGTTCAAAAGTCTGGTGAAGCATTGAATGAGCAGCAACAATGCTATGCTATTGAGATTTTTGACGAATCAGTAGAAGGTGATGACGTGTATGTAGTTGATGAAATGGATGACATGGAAGCAGATGAAGAGGAAGTTTATACAGTGCATGGAACAGAGCATGAGTATACAGGGTTGATTTTATAGGGGCTGAAGTAGACTCACATGAATCAGAAGTGCATGTTGCTGAACCAGAGAAACCACATGATATTGAACCACAGTTGAGGTCTGAACATGAGTTGCATGACGCTGAACCGCAGCAGGAGCTATATGCTGCTGAACAAGAGGTGCATGCTGCTGAACATGATGCCGAAGCAGAGGTGTAGCCTGCTGAAATTGATGTGCATGCTTCTGGACCACAACAACAGGCTCAGCAGGAGCTGCATGCTGCTGAACAAGAGGCGCAGGCTGCTGAACACGATGTCGAAGCAGAGGTGCAGCCTGCTGAAATTGATGTGCATGTTTCTGGACCACAGCAGCAGGCTGCTGAACATGAGTTGCATGATGCTGAACCAGAGGTGCAGGCTGCTAAAACTTATGTGGAGTTTGGTGAAGCTCCTGACCTGGATGATGAATATGAGGAGGGTATTTTGGGAGAGGAATATACTGACTCAGAGTACGAGCAGGAAGAAAATATTGCTATGGAGGATAATGATGAAAACACATATTTCAGGTTGAGTGAGGGTTTTGACATTGGTGCAAGTGGTGAGCAAGAAGGTGAGGCAGCTGCTGGGGAAGAATCTGGAACAGAATACGAAGACTCCAATGAGCTTAGAAGCTTACCCAGTGATACAGAGGCTGAGGGATCATCTGCCAGAAGGAAGAATGTGTGCTGGTTTAACCCTGCAACTGATATGGAAGATCCACAGTTCAAGCTAGGTAATGCATTTGTTTTGTGTAATTCATTTCTGGTTTAATTCATTTGGATGATAATGCATTCTGGTTTAATTCATTTCTGCCAGGGATGAAATTCGACAATGTCAAGATTCTAAGGAATGCAGTAGTTCAGTACTCAGTAAAAAATTCCAGGCAACTGAGATACGTGAAAAATATGAGGACACAGTTGAGAGTTCAGTGTCAAGATAATTGCCCTTAGGTTCTGTATGCGTACCAACAACCCGACAAGAGTCTTAGAATTAACACATTTGTAGATGAGCACACATGTACCATGGTGTGGCAAAATAAAAGGGTTAATTCAGGTTTTCTGGCAAAGAAATACGTAAGAAAATTTAGGTCTGATCCAAACATTCCAATGAGTAGTTTTATGGAGATTGTGAAAGAGGACTGCATGTATGAGATTTCAAAGCATTAGTTCTACAGGACAAGATTGAAATGTGCATAAGTTATTAATGGGATTGTAGCTGAGCAGTACAAAATTTTATGGGATTACGGGAGGAATTGAAGAGAACAAATCCAGGCAGTACAGTGCAAATCGAAGGTTCGGGACATACTTTTAAGAGATTGTACATCTGTATAAGGGCTTGTAAGGAAGGGTTTAAGGCTGGGTGCAAGCCAATTGTTGGGTTGAATGGATGCTTCCTAAAATCTGTAGAAGGCGGACAGTTGTTGGCAACTGTTGGGATCGATGGTGAGAACTATATGTTCCCGTTAGCATGGGCAGTTGTGGATGTAGAGAACAAAACAAACTGGCAATGGTTCATAGAATTGTTAGTTCATGACATAGGGATGCACAACCCTCGAGCTTGGACATTCATTTTCGATAAACAAAAGGGTTTAGTGGATTCCATAAGTCAATACTGTGAAGAAGCGGAGCATAGGTGTTGTGCTAGACATCTTTATAGCAATTTCACTTTATCACACAAAGGTCTGGCACTTAAGAACCTATTTTGGACTGCAGCAAGGGCAACAACAGTGCCAAAGTGGAAGAGTGCAATGAATGAGTTAAAAGACATAAGTGAAGAGGCTTACAACTGGTTCCTTGAAAAACCTCCTTCCCAGTGGACCATATCCCATTTTGAAGAGCATTCGAGATGTGATATTCTTCTTAATAATTTGTGTGAGGCATTCAACTCTTCCATTGTTGTTGCCAGAGATAGGCCCATCATCTCCATACTAGAGAAAATTCGACATCAGCAAATGATAAGGATGGATGCAAAAAGAGAAGAGGGACAGAGGTGAGATCATGCATTCGGGCTAAGAATTGTGAAAATCATTAAGAAGGCTAAGTCTGAGGCAAGGTACTTGAAGACAGACTATGCAGGCAACCATAAATTTGAGATAAGCAGCAGAGACGGTTTGAGGTGGAGCGTTGACTTGACAAAACATGCATGTGCATGCAGAAAATGGCAGTTCACTGGAATACCATGCCCCCATGCAATATCAGGCATGCTTTCAAGGGATATTGGCATATATGAGTACATCGACCCATGGTATAGCAAGGAGACATACCTGAAATGTTACT